GTGATTTATATATTTCATATTCACATCAGGTAGGTACTATTGGTATTTAGCACATGTCAAAAATGTTAATTATCAACTTTTCGAAGTCATCCGGGTAATTTTCTCCATAAACATTTCACAAACGTTTTATTGCAATATTCCTACTAATACTAATTTACAACCATCATCAGCAGAAGTGACTCAGACCGCTATAAGTAGAGAATTGATTTTCGATACCTTTGTACCGTGGAGAGTTTTGGTCAGTAACACAAAACCAATAACTTACCACAATTTCAGCCAAACTGACCGAGTCCACATTTTCAGAAAGCCAGTGCGGTATTCTTTAACAAACTATGTTTTCCGCAAAATTTAACGATTTTTCTAAATACTTTGCTAGTCTCATTACCTTCCTAAATTTCACGATCAACTCAAGTATGTACCAATGGGCAAACAAGTTTGCATTTTCACCGTGAGAATTTCATACTTAAATCTATTGTTTGAAAAAAAATAAATAAATAAGTCTTTAATCAACAATTTAACCTCGAAGTGAAACGGAACCTTTAAACGTTTTAGAACCTAACTTACGAATGACAGAAGCTGAGCAGTATCTTTTACGAGTTTACATTTGCTGGCCTCATACCACAACGCTACGATATTACGAAACAGAATCCACCAAACATTTTCGAGACGCGCACATCCCTGTCTCCCTTTTCGTAGCCATCTGGAAATACGTTTTTGCCGAAAATAAGCGACCAACGTGTAATCACCCACCATTACGAAATAAAAATACATTTCAGGGTGGCATTTTTGTCGCATTTATGTACAATTTGTAGAAGGCACAAAAACGTTTTCTTTTTAGACAATAGCATCGGTCCGCATGGGTAGTGTTTGCTACGCACTGCCATTAATAACCAACTGTCACCTAGGAAAAATGATTTCAGACGAATAGCAGAATAAAGGAAAGTTTCTCAAATTTTTCAGGCGCATTAATGCATGCAAGACAACGGAGAAAAAAATTGGATAAAGTTTTTATGACGCAAAAGCTTTTAAACTGGAGCAGTGCCTAAACTGGAGCACGGCTTTTCCTTTACGAATCTATGTCCTTTTGCTGCGCATTGTGATTTTTTTTTAAATTAACTGCCTTTTGCTGTAGTGCAGTATCAAGACGATGCGCAAGATAATATACAGGGTGTTTCAAGATTAAGTCGACAAACTTTAAGAAGGTATTCCTCATAAAAAAATAGGAAAAAAATCAGGTATAATTTTTTTCCAGAGATGCTTCATTTTCGAAATATTGGGCGTTAAAGATTTAAAAAAAAAAATCAAATTTTTTAAATAACTTCTAAATGAAGAAGGCTATTTAAGCCAAATTTGGCATGACACATCTTCTTATAAGATACCATTTTAGCAAGCAACCAGTGGCGGAGTTATGGGGACTCACTCATTAAATTATAATAAAATTAATACGGCCCTACTGAAAATAAAAAATGATGCCGCTTTTAGATAGAACAGTTTGTTATTGACAAAAAGTATACATTCACTTTTTTCCTAACTCTTATAGTTTCATGGCAAAATTGATTTTTCGGAAGGGTGCTTTTGGATTATGTCGATAAACTTTAAAATGAACCTGAACAAAAATTTTCGAGTAGACTGCTGTCAAACAATGTTGATTTGACCAGCAACGGAAACATTTTCAACGACATTCAGTCGTCTCAGACAAACTGGGTCTTTCGTTATTCCAACTTATGCTGATGGACATTTTGCTCCACTTCAAGACGAAGTAAGATCGAATACTATTTTAATCCATTTCGATGAAAATTCATCCACGAGTGTCAGAAGATCTAGCTATGAGTTAGGTATTTCGTCAAGTTTCATTTGGTGTGTACCATATCCAGCGTGTGCAACATTTATTGCCTCAGGACATACGATGCAGGCGCGTGTTTTTAAACCAAGCAGAGAATGATGATCAGTTTACTCAAAAAGTAATGTGGACAGATGAGGCAGCATTTACTCGAAGGGGAATTTTAAACCAAAGGAACAACCATATTTGGTCCTACGAGAATCCACGGGCGGTAAGGGAACATAGTTTTGAGCATGAATTCCAATGTAACGTATGGTTGGGTATGTTGGACAACACTATAGTTGGTCCCTACTTCCTTCCGCATCGATTAAATGGTGACGTGTTTACCGAGTTCCTTGAAAATGGTTTTCAAGATCTGTTAGAAGATGTTCCGCTTAATACTCGAATGAACAGTTGGTTTCAACTAGATGGTTGTCCTGCCCATTTTGGTAGGGGTCCTAGGGAGTGGTTAAACATTAATTATCCCAGGAGATGGATTGGTCGTGGAGGACTTGCAGCGTGGCCCGCACGTTCACTGGACTTGACACCGATGGATTATTTCGTTTAGGGTGCTGTTAAACAAAAAGTCTATGAGGTGCCAGTTGATACCCTAGAAGATATAAGACAGCGAATAGCCCAAGCGTGTCGAGAATTAACTCCAATTCAGTGTCGATCGGCCACTACCTCCATAATTAAAGGATGTCGTGCTTGTCTACAGTCCGGAGGCGCCCATTTTGAACAAAATATTTTTTAAATCATTTCATTTTTGATTCACATTTTACTTTGTCTAGGTCTAATATTAATTGGTAATTTTTTGATTATTTCAATTTACAAATACATTTTCATGTATTGTTTGCCATCTTATTTTATTTACACAACACAAGTAAATGAAGTGACTACAAACCGCCTGAAAAAATTTAGGAGTATTGCAAGAGTCGTTACGTTGTCGCATTACGACATAGTCACATTAGATGTTAGGTACTTAAATATTTCTATTGTTTTCATCATCATTTTTTTTCTAAAAAAAACACCCTATATCTCAAAAACGAAGCATATCCTAAATAATTTGGTTAAACCCAAGGGAAGGGGAGACAAAACGGCTTATTTTACTCACACATACTCGTCTTCTTAAAGTTTAGAGTTAGGAAAAAAGTGAATGTACACTTTTTGTCAATAACAAACTGTTCTGTCTAAAAACAGCATCATTTTTTATTTTCAGTAGGGCCGTATTAATTTTTTTTATAATTTAATGAGTCTGAATCCCCATAACTCCGCCACTGGTTGCTTGCGGGACTTCTACTTCTATGGAAAAATGGTATCTTATAAGAAGATGTGTCATGCCAAATTTGGCTTAAATAGCCTTCTTCATTTAGAAGTTATTTAAAAAATTCGAATATTTTTAAAAATATTTAACGCCCTATATTTCGAAAATGAAGCGTCTCTGGAAATAAAATTATACTTGATTTTTTTCTTATTTTTCTAGTTTCAAACAAAACATTACTTATTTTATTTTACTTCAAGAACATTAAATAAACTAGTTTTTAATTATATAAATGTTCTTCAATTATGAAATAGTTATAAGGTTGGATGTGAAACAAGTTCTTGATCAACTACTGAAGAACCATTGGAGACATACTTCAAACTGCATCGTCAGTATCTATTAATAACATTATATTTAGATAGTTAAAACACTATGCTATACTATTACGCCACAAATTCCTACTGAACAACTAGCACAGTCCTCTACATACGCGCGGTAACATCACACTAGCTGATCACATGATTAATCCGACTGGTAGTCATGTAAATTCAGTTTAAAAACTATCATAACGCCAAACACCTATCAGCAGAGTAAGACATGAAGAAGTCGATAATTATATTTTAATTTTTCAACATAATTATGGAATTATGAATCTATTCGTCTGATTACTTTTCATTCAAGTAAAGTCTGTAATCCGCAGTAGATGTTTCTCGCAAAATCACTAGTTAAATACTATTTTACCCCATACCAGGCTAATATTGAAGCACAAGAGACTTTTAGAGATGCACAATGATGCCAGTTAAGAAACAATTCATTTTATTGCAAGCAGTAGATTTACCCCTAAAACACTCAGATTCAGTGATTTTTTTGTATGGGGTACTTAAAGGATCAAGTTTATGTTACGCCCATTTCAAATCAACAACAGCATACAATATAGTAGGTATGCAAGAATTTGCAGAATTATCGACTGAAGAGTTGTTACAAGTAAATTCTACCATTAGAAGATGTCAAAAATTCATAGAGGCAAATGGGATACACTTTGGGCACTTACTGTAGTGTCACATATTAGTTTAAATTAATTAAAATACGTATTTAATTTCCCACTACGAAAACTTAACATTTCAATATTTAATAAAAGTTTTAAAAACTTACAGATGATATAAATGTAATTTTTAATCATTTTGAAAAATTGACTTTAGGTGTGCATTCAAAACTAAATCTGAGAAAAATATTTTAGAAAAATGTAAGTACGATAACTCGAAAACCAAGCATTTTTTCAAAAAATAGCAAGAGATATTTTGTCTCAAAATTATGTGTTACAATTTTTTTAGTCAGTGTAAAGATTAAGCAATTTATTTTCCTTTTTGTATGCCACTTGTAAAAATAAAATGTTGCTTAATATACAAAAAACCTCAATTTTAAAAACATAATACCAAGGTTGCCTTTTATATTTCGAGAATGGACGATTCTGGTGCTGCCATTTGACAACCGACATTGCCATCCTAAAGTTCAACTTTTTGTCGGTATACTTACTCAGAACATTTTGATGTATATGCATTATTTGTGTTATTTACAGTAACTGGAAAAATTCATTTCAGCCAAAAAATGGGACGTCGTGAATATATCCGTGAGATTATTTTTTACAATTTTAGACCTGGATTATCTCGATAAGAGTGCATTGTTGAATTTAATTTGACTTTTGGTGATGAAGCATCAAAAACCACCGTATATGGGTAATATACGGAATTCAGTCGTAGCCCTGGTTCGCTTACTGACGATTTTTGTGAAGGTCATCCAAAATCGGTTGTTGTTCCAAAAAATATTGATGCAAACTGATATTGCAAGATCGTCATGTGATTTATCCTTGAGAATTACTGGAACCAGTATACAAAATTGCATTAACATTTGGCCACCAAAAATATGTATTCGCGTTGGATCTCACATAACAAACTCTCAAAAGAAAAAGCTTGTGACGATTGGTCGAAAGAAATGCCCAAGAAATACGAACGCGGTGTTCCAAAACAAGTCTGTGACATCGTAACAACAGACGGATCATGGATCTATGAGTATGAATACGAAAATAAACAGCAGTCGACTGTATGTCTTTCAAGATGAGCCAAATACCACAAAAGTTTTTGGGAAAGAGCGGACATATGGTAACTGTACCATTATGTGTCGAACGGTCAATTCTAAGTGATAAACAACCATTTCTTTGCCAGAAGTCTTCGGAAAAATAAGACAAACCAACAGCTGAAGACGCATCATTCTCCATCAGGACAATGCGAGCTTCACACATCGTCTCAAACAAAAGACTTTTTGAGAACTGAAAAAGTCAAATTGATGAATCATTTACGTACAGCCCTGATTTAGCACCAATGACATGCCACTGTGCATCGATCTTCGTGAAGAATATTAGAAGTGAAAATTTTTAACAGCGTGTATCTTACAAACAACTCAATTTTCAATTCATACTTATTTAACTAAGTTTTACTATTATATTCGGTGGCGAAGCCTGATAGAATCAATACGAACCATTCGATATACAGTGTGACCCATTAAGAACCAATATAGCTCTCTAATATTTTTTTTTGCAACACACGATGTTGAATGAGTTACGATTAAATAAAGTCATAAATTTTAAAGATCAATAAAAATATTAAAATTATTGTGACCTTTGATTTTGTACGAAATATAAAATAAAAATTCTAAACCGGAATATCGTAAAATCATTGTTTAATTATCACAGACACACACAAAAACAAAGTTGTGTATACTTTTTATGCGACATATATTTTTCGTAGTAATGGTCTCCTCAACGAATCTGGGGTCAGAATTGGCCCATCACGTCACAATTTTTTCCTAACCTCAAAAAACTTGTGAAAAATAGTGAAAATTGATGAAAATTTACTGGGAAAATTTGGAAAAAAATTTATTTCCACATCGAATAGTACATTTTTATGTAAAAGACTATGCTGAATTCAAATCCACTGTCAGAATTGAGCTAGAACGTGTGGTTTTTTTTCTAACCTCAAAAAACCGAGCAGGAATCGCTATTTTCAAATTCTGAGCGGATTTCGACCAGATTTTTTATAAAGGGTTTTTTTGGGTCGCTGATTACGAATATGAATTCACATTGTAAAAATTCAAGATGGCTGAGCCAATATGGCGGGTGTACTTTTTTGAAATCCACCGATTTCAGTAAAATTTGGCATCATAAGGATTGCTGGTTGATCTCACCTTCATTAATTACACATCTGGAGCCAGATTTTCATAAATCAAGGTAAAAGATTCCACTCCGTCTAAAAATGTGACTTCGCTTAAAAAAATGACTTAAGGACTCTACACGTGTAATGATGTGTAGTGTGATGTGCTTGTTTCCATGGGACAAGACAAAAAAGTTTCTACTTTATTCTTTCATTTATTTAGTCGTGCATGGGCATATGGTTTTCCAATCAGATTTTTTTAACTACTATGCAGTTTTCCTATGGCATTTAGATGCTTTTATTTCTTAATAATTTTAAAGTTCAAGGAAAAGGACACATTACTGCCACACAGCACATCACTGCATCTGCTTATGCCTTCAATCTAAAAATGTGACTGCCGAAAAAATGCCGCCTACTCGGCCTAAAATAATGAGTCTGCCTACAAATTTGATTCCACCTGAAAATCTGGCTCCAGATGTGTGATTAATCTCACCTTCATTAATCAACCAGCAATCCTTATGATACCAAATTTTACTGAAATCGGTGGATTTCAAAAAAGTACACCCGCCATATTGGATCAGCCATCTTGAATTTTTACATTGTGAATTCATATTCGTAATCAGCGACCCAAAAAACCCCTTTATACAAAATCTGGTCAAAATCCGCTCAGAATTTGAAAATAGCCACGATCTAGCTCAATTCTGACAGTGGATTTGAATTCAGCAGAGTCTTTTACATAAAAATGTACTATTTGATGTGGTAATAAATTTTTTTCCAAATTTTCCCAGTAAATTTTCATCAATTTTCACTATTTTTCACAAGTTTTTTGAGGTTAGGAAAAAATTGCGACGTGATGGGCCAATTCTGAGCCCAGATTCGTGTTCAGGAGGCCAAATTACTACGAAAAATATATGTCGCATAAAAAGTATACCCAAATTTTTATTTTGTGTGTGGGGCTGTGTATTCAATGTCTGAAATTTTGTTTACTCTGAACCTGTCTAAAGTAGGTGTTGCTCTAATTACCTTATACATTCCAGTTTTTCACATTGTGCTATAATGGTTCTCGATTACGAGGCCGACACATGCAGTCACTTTGGTCTATGAGTTAGATACAAAAATTATCGGGCAATAGCGTTAAGCAGCTAGTCAACTTCTATTAACGTAAATTTTAGCAATCGCTCTTTATTAAAACCTACATATGTGCCATTAAAAATAAATCTTCAAATCCGCAAGTAAACATCCTGTATAACAGCATTTGCTGAGCATATTGAAAATTGAATTAGGATTAGCTTCTTCTTTAAAGTAAAGTAAAAGTATAAGAACTAATAATAAAAAATATGTAAAAAATGTTAATTATTCACGTTGAGTATAGGGACCTGTTTAGATTAACAAAGCGTAAAGGCTTCTGCTGATACTAACTAAAAAGTGCCTGCGACCACATCAATCAGGCTACGTCATGGTCCGAAATTAAGGAAATCCTAGACCCTTCCGAAGTGCGTCGTACCCTGGCATACACCAAAACCACTTTATGCATAGCGCCAGGGGATTAATGATTTAGCTCTCCGCAAAAACTTATTAACTGTACTTAACCCATTTTTAAGAACAATGAAGGGGCGGAACCTTTCAGTGTCATTTTAAAAAATTAATGATGTTGGAGAAAAAACTGCTTACTAAAAGCCGCTGAAATATGCAATGCTTGCGTCGTATTCTGTCATTTTTGCAAAAGTTATGTAATTAAATTGCTGTCTTTCATTCAAATTAAAATAAATTGTCCAAAAACTTATTTTCAGATATAATATAAGTGCAATAAAAAGTAATTAGTTAGCAAGATATATCTTTTTTAAGCAGAAAAGTTGGGGGAAAAGATTTTTCCAGCCCAAAGTGAAATACACCGTGGCACAAAAAAGTTTTGGCAGTTTAAATGCGTTCTAATGGTCGCTTGACACCCTCTAGAAGATATAAAGAAATCGTCGATATATCCGAATTTCTCATCCCAAAAAAAAACCGGAAACGAAATTTCACGAAATTAGCCCGAAGTAGTCGAAAAATATTAAAGAAAATTGTGGGTACACATGCTGCAAGTGGCCCATTTTTAGGTACAACGCCATCCTGACGCAACAGGGTTCCAAAAAAAAAGGTCGACGGCAGAATGGCGCCAAGGACCAGGTACTTCTGCGAGCGACTCCACACCAAGAGGGACTCTCCAGCGAACACTCGCCCCGACAACACGTCTATTTCACAAATCTAGTTTTCAATAAAAATACTTTATTTTTACCATTGAGAGAGCATTTTATTTTTGCTATACAGCGAAAGCAACCCTCAAAATGTTATTTATTTTTTCAACTTTGACGCCCTGTAGCTCCGTTATTATACATTTTTGGATTAAGGCAAATTTAGTTAAATCGATTTATTTTGAGCCGTACTACGTCTGATGGAGCGTTGTACAAACCCTTTAGAGACACCTTGTATTTATAAAAGGCGCCAAAGGATTTTCTGATTATACTATATCCCCTAAAAGATTTCAGTCCAACAAAAATCTTACATCCAAATAAATTGCAATAATTATGAAATGTGAGGAAAAAATGTTAGCATATAGGAAACTTTGAAAATTTACTTATTTTAATATACCGCCTTGCTACTTGATATGTTGTGGCTTTATTTTGTGTGACCATTTAGTTTACCTTTCGTATCGTTAGGCTCATAACGTCTAGTATAATTCGTATTACAATTGTGAAAAGAGATCACTCAATTGGACATACAGCTAGTTAAACTCTTTTAGGTACCAAAAACCAACCAATCTTCTTCCCTGGTTTCTGATTAGAACTTCTTTTTGTGAAAGCATTAATATAGCTGGTACAGGTTACGTGGATACATTATTCCTAGGATAAATCATGTAAATATTCGGGAAACCATCTATATGTGAGTTTTGTCATATTATCTGCAAATAAAACTTAATAACAATCGCCATCCAATTAAATAAATAAATACTAACATCAGTTTTCTGTTTTGGTTTGAAAATAGCAGTCTGATTTTTTTATCCACCAATGGTTCCTTAATCGTCGTACGTCGTATCATGTTGATCTAAAATTCCCCTAGAGAACGGAGAATTGTCGAATGGTCGGAAAAATTCTCTCTCTTTTTCGATAGATATTTCAGGCCACGTTTGTGCCGTACGCAAAATGCGGATTTTTCGAAAGAAATATCTGGGCAAAATAAATATTTTTGGTATTTTTGTAAGCCTTATTGGTTGGATTTTAATGCCCATATTGAAAAACTGAGAAATTTTCACTCTAAGGCCGATCAACAACTTAGGTAGGTAGTGAAGTTAGGAACAACATGTGGTCACATTCTCAATTTGAAATGCAGATATGTTGAACAGTTATTTCTTCTGTTTCAGGCCTTTTTTTCTACTTTTTCTTTTTTATTTTCCCCTTTTGTCTCATCCTGTTTTCTTCTCATCCTGTTTGGTACCCGTTTACTGGCATTAGCCTTCACAATACACTGAAGCCTTATTTTGCTATATGGTACTTCAGGAAGGTGAACCCCTTTTGTGGAATATATTCGCTACTCTCGTTCCACCGATCCACCCGAAATATAAAAAACCTACCCTTCTTTTTTTTGGCTACATTTATTATTTATTAAAATTTTTTATATACAATAGTTAATTTGTCACTTGTCATTTGTTAGTTACCTTTTTTTGTTTTCTGTTTTTTTCTTTGTGCCAAAAGGTGGCACCTATTTTTTATTTTTCCTGAATAGTTTTTTTTTTGAGCAAACCCACTTTTTGTTTTTTTTTTCTAGCAACGTATATTTGGTCTATATGCCTAGGCAGATGGCAGAAAAATAAAAGTAGAAATATTATAATAAAACTTATCATTTTTATTCTAACTGTATAACATTGTATAGGATAGTTGTTCACATGCACATCAAATCAGTCTGATGAAGAACAAAGCAGGTGATGCTTTTGAATACTTGAAAACTATGTTTCTCAATCTGAGTGATGCCAAAATAAAAGAAGGCATATTTGTAGGTATATATCAGCACTATGGAGAAGAGATACAAAGAAAGATGGGATGTAGGAATGATGGGTGACTATTGCTGATTTATCGAAGCACACTTTTCTTCTCAGACAAGATAATTTATTGGATTGAAATATTACGCTGCCTTGGTTTAATGTCTTTTTTATATTGTACTGACATTAGAAGTTGTCATCTAATTAGTTATTAGCTTTGTTTTTGGGGTTTAATTTTAGCCAAGAAGTTCAGACGTATATAAAAAATATTTTTATAAAAATTAAATGACATCAGAGGTGCGAATAGGTAAAGAACACTATTTCGTTCGTGTTACAGAGAAAAAGTTGAATTTTGTTGACTTGACCTTAGAAATTTTGAATATATAAATGTATTGATAGACAAAACAATTAATATTTTATTTAAAAACACGAAGGTAAAGGAAAACTACAATTCACTAAATATATTTTCTTCTTTTGCAGATATATTCATAGAGCTCCAAAGCTACTGAAGATTCAGCCAGAAGTGTTTAGTGCATATCTTCCAAACTTAAAGATACTGTGAGTATATTATTTTTATATGCATATGATATTTTAGTAAATTGTCAACTTGTTGTTTCACCGGAAAACTCAAATTACATAGACTTGATCTAATCTGAAAACAAAATTTTTCAAAGTATGTAGTAGAAAAGTTGCAAATACACCTTTTAATATATTCAAAACCTAAGTAAAATTCTGCCAAGTTCCTTGTTATATCAGTTTTTTAATTTGTTTGGCACAACAAATGGAAAAATGAAATAATCCAAATATTTCCTATAAAATATTAAATTTAACTTTATAAAACTGCATAAATTCCAAATTTTTCATTAATTTCAATGACAAGTCACCAGCTGATTCTGTACTGAATGTTATCGTACTATAGAAAGTAATTACTATATTCTGTCCCTTGGTCTAACCTCCTTGACAAGGACAAATTTTGGACAACGCAACGCACAGAATAACGGTAACCTAATTGTGTGTTTACGCCGTGAGAACATCAATCATCTGCTGACAGGAATTTTTCTGGTCGGCAAAAGTGTAAACGGGGAAACGTGTCGCACATGAAAAATCATACCTAAATCATTGAAATTATAACTGCTATTTAAATAATCACATACCTTCAGGACTTCCTAGTTCAGACGTTACGTCGAATGAAACGCAATTGATAAATAAAAATATATATAAGTACATGATTTTAAAGGTTTTTTTAAAAGTATTTCAGTAAATTGCCAGTCGGGGTTTGAATTTCCTTACATTGTTAACAAATAATTGCAAAGACTATCTTGTTCCTTACAAAAAATCGGAGAGGTAGCTATTATTTTTATCGCAAAATAATAACCCCTAAATTTATTTACTGAGATATTGGTCAATAAAAAGTTAAAAAGTTTTAAAAAGTTAAAAAGTTTTAAAAAGTTAAAAAGTTTTAAAAAGTTAAAAAGTTTTAAAAAGTTAAAAAGTTTTAAAAAGTTAAAAAGTTTTTCAACTACTTATAAAATAAATTACTTTAAAAACACTTTAAAACTTACATTGGTCAATTATTATTATTAAAATTAAAAAAATATATAATGCGTCGCATAATATTAATATGTTTAATTTTTTAATTAATATTATCGTTAATGAAACCACATTTTAACAAAATCAGAAGCTAAATGATATGTAAAAATATTTAGTTTTAGAACGAACCAAGTTGAGGAAAGGAATTAAGGAATTGTTCATAGGAATATCATTTAGCTTCTGACTCTGTTAAAATGTGGTATCATTAACAATAATATTAATTTAAAAAATTAAACATATTAATATTACGAGACGCATTGTATTTTTATAAAATTCTAATAATAATTGACCAATGTAAGTTTTAAAGTGTTTTTAAATTTATTTATTTAATAAGTAGTTAAAAAAACTTTTTTTATACATAATTAGTGGAAAAATTATGTTTTTGTAAGATGGGGTAAACCCGAAACGATCGTAAAATATAATAATTTGGAAATTATCTACTAAGTTATTTTATTGACCAATGCCCCAGTAAACAAATTCAGGAATAATTATACAGGGTGATTCATTAACAATGGGAAATCCGAAAGCTGAAGGTACTACACGTGAAATGCATTGGTGCAAATATGCCTTATCCGAAAGTTAATAGTTTCGGATATACAGGGCGTTGAAAGTTAAAATTTTAAATCGTTTTCTTGGGATTATTTTGAAAATATATAAGTTAGGAACTTGAAAATTTGTGAAACTAGGTTTTTTTAAGCGACGATTAAGATGCGTATTGCAATTTCAGCGTTTTTCATAGAGCATACGACCAATTTTACCGAAAATTTAGTTAATAACTTTTTACCCTGTACGTCTAACATGAAACTTGATTCAAAACCTGAAAGAGCAATTATTTTTGCATTAATTATGTACTCTTGTTTCATTTCGGTATCTTGGTCCGTTTTCGAGAAAAATCGATTTAACAAACACTATGTTTTGATAATACGAGAAATTAAAAGCGAAACAAACTAAGTGTTTCTTCATGTTATTAAAACAATTAATGATAAAACAAATGAAGTACTTATTATTTAAAGTAATAATTGTTCGAAGAACCCACCGTTGACACTGATACACTTTACACAACGTTTTCTGAGATATCTTCAGGTTTGAAACAACATATTGGGATTGCGTTTGACTTCGTAGGCAGCTATTTGTATTCTTTGCCACAACTCTTCGCGAGAACCAATAGATTCTTTGTAAACTATTTGAGACCAATTAGAAGAATCACGAGGACTGAAGTCCGGACTTCTTGGTGGCCACGTAAAAATGCTAACATGGCCAATCCAGCGATTTGGAAAAATTGCATCTAAATATGCACGCACTGGCCGAAAACAATGCAGTGGAGCTCCGTCGTGTATGAACCACATGTCTCTTCTTAAATAAAGTGGAACTTCTTCAAGCCGTGGAAGCATTTTTGCTTGGCCACCCAGAAGTACGGACTTCAATCCTCTTTATTTTTTTATTTGGTCTCAATAAAATATATAGTTTACAAAGAATCTATTGGTTCTCGCGAATAGTTGTGGCAAAGAATACAAATCGCTGCCAACGAAGTCAGACGCAATTCCAATATGTTGTTTCAAACTCGAAGATCTCTCAGAAACGTGTAAACTGAATCAGTATCAACGGTGGCTTCTTCGAATAATTACTTTAAATCATTATTAGATATTTCAATTGTTTTATTGTTAATTATTGTAATAACATGAAGAAACACTTGGTTTGTTTGGCTTTTAATTTCTCATATTAACAAAACAAAGTGTTCGTTAAATCGATTTTTCTCGAAAACGGATCGAGATACCGAAATGAAACAAGAATACGTAATTAATGCAAAAATCGAAAATCTTTCAGGTATTTAATCTACTTTTATGTTAGACATGCAAGGTGAAAAGTTATTAACGAAATTTTCGGTAAAATTGGTCGTAAGTGGCGCCCTCTATGAGCTACGCTAAAACTGCAACACGCATCTTATTCGTCGTTTAAAAAAACATAGTTTCACAAATTTTCAAATTCCTAACTTACATATTTTCAGAATAATCGCAGAAAAAAGATTTAAAATTTTAACTTTCAACACCCTGTATTTCCGAAACTATCAACTTTCCGATAAGGCATGTTTACGCCAATGGTCACTATTTCACTTGTAGTATCTTCAGCTTTAGGATTTCCCATTGTTAATGAATCACCCTGTATAGTCAGAAAATTGATGTATATTGAAGCAAAATAATAACATACAACATAAAAATATTAATATAAATGCATAGGACAAAATTTTAGAACAGTACTCATAACGTTTCCATTAGGAAAATTTTGCTATAAAGTAACATAGGAGAACTGACACAAATAATTTACACATTTAGAAAATCTTCAATTTCATCAAACGGAATACCCAGATTCTTAAATTCATTAATGACTTGCCGATTTTAATATACTAGAATAATTTATCAATACCTCATCCACTTCTTGGCAACGAACATTATGATGTTAGGTTTATTAGGATTTAGTTTCAGCCTATGTGCAATGGATATAATTTAGAAATAAATTGAAATATATTAATAAATTACATAACAGTAGTATATATGAGAATCGTCGGCATGGTAATGAATATTAAAATTCTTTAAAGACTGTTTTAAGTCGGAGATCTAGGTAGTAAACGACAAAGGGCTAAGTATGGAACCCTGTGGAACACCACATCTTATTGGAAGAATATTTGACATAGAATCAACAACCATTTACAGGTAGGGAGATTCGGGAGGTTAGATAGTTCCGAATTAGAAATGATGGGGATTGATCGAAACCATAAGATGAGTATTTGTTACATAGTATATCCTAGTCCAGGTTATGAAACGCTTTGCTATAATCAAGCAAAACAAGGCAACTGCATTGGTTGGTATCCGTAGCTGATAATAATTCGTCAGACTTGTAACAAAGTAGTGGCAGTAGCTACATTACTGAAGACATATCCAGATTTGTTATTTCAAAATTATTTCTTAGTCTTGGGTGTGGGGAGAGTACTAATTGGTCGTAAGTGATTTAATTCAGTTGGGTTAGAGAACTTAGCAAGAGGAACAATATTAGGAATTAGAATTAGGAAAGGCTGAAATTAAAATTGAGGTGTAAGTAATATAAGTAATGTGATTCAGCAAGTAATCCATAATTAAATTAATCATGGTTAGCGAAATCGAATTGCTGCCGGTAGAAAGGTTAGTTAGTGACCTGATGTACTTTCAGTACATCCTGGGTGAGGACTATTCTAAAGTAAAAAAGACAATTATGAGCAAAATCAGACATATTTGGAGGGATGTTACTAAAATATTCATTTATATATTCGGGTGATTTAAATCGCTAGATAAATCACATGACTTGCTTCTATTAATAACGGATCCCAAAAAACTATAAGGAACTTAATGAATATCATAGTGATTTAGTATTTTTCATTTTTGACATATTATCATAACTAATATATTGTTATTTTTGACGTCAATGATGAATCATGTGAAATGTGTAATAGCCACTCTGTATAAGTACAATATATTTTATTATTTTTTTTTTTGTAAATCTTTTTCCTTTCGGCTTTACTTTCCGCAATGCGGCATTGTTCCCCATTCCGCGTCGTACGCCGCCGGGACGAACAGAACCCAATGACATGAAAAGTAATAATCGCGACGATTGTTGTCAGTTATGCGGTCGTGAAGAATAATGAGGTGGACATTTATTTAACATCAGAATTTAATTATATCCGCGGATCTGCTGTGTGTTGGATTCCCTTTGATTTATGTCGAATAAATATGTATAGAAGGCATCATTTACAATGAGCGAGTCGTCGAAAACTGTTAGTCCGGATAACTTGGAGAAATTTTATCTAAATTTATTGAGATGGAATGACCTTTATTTCTGGATAGCATTGTTAATGGAAATACAATTTGAAATACACAGGGTGTTTGTTTAATATTGAGAAAAACTCAAAAAGTAAGTGGAATTCTTATGGACATGGTGAT